CGGCCTGAGCAGTCAGAATCTGGCCTTACTTTCCATTTCAGTGGTGGGTCACCCAGGGGTGTTTGGGGGGTATAAAGTTACTCTAAACAGTGACTAGAGGGGTTTAAAAGGGGTATATCTTACCTCATTTCTACTCATTTATTTTTTTCTTAAAATTAGTAAGGAACTTCGAGGGGACCCTCAGCCAAAAGTTGCTTTTTTCCAGATTTTTTTGAATTTTTTATTTTTTTTAATATTATGCGCTGGGGCTGCTCGGGACCCTGAACGGGCCGCCTGGGGACCAGCCTAGATAATGATCCATTTCCTTTTGTATGGGTCTATGCTTCTGCAGTGCTGATGCCTGCAGTCTCTCTTACAAAACTGCTGAGCCCCAACTGTCACAAGGAGACAGAATTCAACAGGCAGATAGAGCAGGCATACTGAGTTTTAAAGTTCTTCTTTTTTCTTTCAGCACAAAGGATTCTCATTAAATATGCAGATCCATTGGGCCTCTATCCACTACGCAATGCTATGCATTCATTTGGATGCTTTCCAAATGCTTTCCAAACCCAATGCATTCAAAATGTTGGACTCGTCCCAATGAACCTGGTCCAGAAAGCTGCAAAATGCATGTACAGCGTTGTGTAGCGGATTATGAGTTCTGAATCCGTCTTAAAACAGTGCAAACACTGCAAAGTCATTTGGTCAGAGTGTGGTTGAGCAGAACTGAAGCTTGTCAACGAAGACGAAAGGCGGATGGGGGCCATGCCCCACTAGCAGCAGGATGATTAATTCTTCTGTACTTTCCGCATCATCACATTATGGCCACTAGATTTTCGGATCAGATGGCAGCGACTCATATGTGCTAAAAAAACTACCATCAACACTCTAATAGAACGCCCGGTCATTATAGATGTATATGGGCCAACTTGGTATAGATACAGCGATAATGACCGAGCGTACTATTCGGGTGAAGACGGCAGTCTATTCTCCTGTTAGTGGGACAAGCCCCCAGACCAGGGGATGGCAGTGACTCATACGAGTCGGGTGGCAGCGACTTCATATGAGTCGGACCGGATGGAAGAGACTTTGTATGAGTCGGCTGGCAGCGACTCATATGAAGACGAAAGAAGTTAAACCACCACTACAGCGGACCTTTCAGGTCGCCGTACCTAAATATTTTGCACCCGGACGACTCTTCTGCTAGAAGTTTCACAGGACAAGGCTCGTACTGGTGCATAAACCACCAGTACCTTTGCCTGATTGAAAAAAAATAGCGTGGCGGTTAACACAGAGGAGCGGGCACGGGACGAAATAGGTGGCTGGGGCAGCCACGTGCATCCACGTCGCTTCGTTCTTTTGCAGAACCACCAGTTTTTGGGACCCTTCTACTGTGTCCTGGAAGTTTTGCTATGATTGATGTATTGGAGGCAGGGGCAGGTCGGCCAGTACCTGCAAAACACGGCCTCCAGGTAGACCAGCCGGTTTTTTTAACTAGTGACCTAGCTATCACAGGTCTCTCGTCCTGCACTGGGATGAACCACAGGTATTATCATGAATGTGCCAAGTCCTATCTGCTAAAATCTTGAAAGAGATAAATCATAATCACCACTGAACTGAGTGTACTCTAAATAAACAAGTGGACC